TTGCTAGCAACATGGGTTTTTAGATCTCCATTTGTCAAATAGGTAAATTATCACTATGCACCACACTTTTGTGCTCTTTTTCATCTTTGCATTTGGGGTTAGTAACTGAATCTGGTAAAATATCTGATAAAGCCAGTTTCAAGGATATGATAGATAAAATGTGTAGCTTTGTACTTTTAGGCAATATATGTTAATATCTGGGAATGTGAGTAGGGTATTGCCTGTGTCACTTCCTTTTATTCTCCACAGCACCCCTGGGAGGTCAGGGCTGTTTGCACCATTCTTAATGTTGAAAGCCACAGAATTGATGACCTTGTTTAGTAAGCATTTACTATGCAGTTATGTATTTCATGTGAGGTTTAATATAAGGGTTTTTTGTTTGTAGTACCAGATATTTATCTATAATCTTAGATTATTTTATCTCCCATTAATGGAGCCTGAGGCACAGAGGGAATAGAAGTAAGGAAAGGATTATAAATGGTGCTAAAGCATGATAGCTATTATGGGTCACCTTTGATTACATGAGTGAATCATTGATCACATATAATTTGTTGTCATTGTTTGGATTCTCTATATATTAGAGATCAAAGCCTTGAATAACTTTGTGATTTTTTTTTAAAACTCTTTAGGGAACAACAAGCATATACAACAGGATTTCGACCTGAGGCTCATTTATAGATACCCAACTATTTTCTATCAAAAAGTCGGGAAGAGACATGAGATTGGGAAATATGAAGTGGGGTGTGTGTGTGTGTGTGTGTGTGTGTGTGTGTGTGTGTGTGTGTACATCCTGTGATCTTTCCAGCCTTTGAAGATGTACCTGTGGAGATTTATGCATCAGAATAAATTGATTAGATTTGCTGCTCCACATTTGTTCTAGCATAAAAATAATGTGTTAAATTACTTTCCATTGACATTGCCAAAATAATGATCATTTTACCTATAGTCTGGTTTGAGAAATACTTTTTCTTTTACTGCAATCCATGGCAAATACTATGGTAAATGTTTGATATGCCCATACTAAGAAGATTTTTTAAAATATTATTATTATTACCATTTTGATGTTATCACTTGCCCATCTCCCTTAGATCTGCTTCTTTTTCCCCCTCAAGTGAATGGTTTGCTTTATTCAGACTGTACATTAAAATGACCTGTAAAGCAGTGAAACTCATTTAAAATGTGCCCATGTGTGGGCTGTAGTAGAATCTGGGATTGTAAAGGTCATCGCTTTTATGGTTTGAGAGCTCTGTGGCTGGTTCTGATGCACCGCTAGGAATGGTAAGTTCACCACCTGCAAGGATGACCACACAAGCTGGCAGGTCACTAACTCGCATGGTATAGCTCGTGGAAAGAGTAATCTTTGAGTTAGTTTCTAAGTTAGACGGTGAGGAGTTAAGAACCTGGCCCTACTTCTCTGAAGGTGTAATATTTAGGCTATCATATGAAGATGACATAGACAGGTGTAGAGTAGGAGACCTGAGATCACACTTCTCTAGAAGTGAAGATTGACCTGAAAGAAGGAATAATGTGGTGTACTGGAGGAGCTGAAGGGTCTACCTATCTGGAGCACAGTGTTCAAGGTAGAGCTAGGCACGATTCTGCATGGATAGTCATGGAACTGAACATTAAGAACTCTGAAAAACAGATGAACCATTGAACTTGATCCTAAGGATCATCATCTGAAAGTTGTATTAATTGCTATATAATAAGAGACTGGACGTGGGAGAAGGAGAAGCCATTAAGAATTTTATCATAGAACTATGAGAGAAGTGATGGAAGTTTGTGTTTAGGGTGGCAGAGGAAATGAGGTAAGATAATAAAATACAGAATTCCATGCTTTTAGGGGCAGTGGAAACAGAGACTTCAAAAGTTACTGAAAGATTAAAACCCATCAAACACCCAGGAGATTTAGTAAAACAAAAATCAGAAACGCTTGCATATGTCATTGCTTCCTTTCTCTGTTCCCCAAACTAATCTAAAATAGAATATTAAATAGCATTATAGTTAAGTTACAGTGTGTGTGAGAGTCAGAGAGAGAAACTGCATTAGAAATGTAAAACTAGGAAAGAATGTGAAACAGCAAAATGAAAGATTAAAATCAGCTAGGTAAAAAGTTACAAAAAAGTAATTTTCAAACTCAAGACAGTCACCTCAAGACAAGTGTAGATCTCCTAGCTTAGGTGACCTGTGCCAATGGCTTATGCCTATAATCCTAGTTGCTCCAGAGGCTGAGATCTTAAAAAAAGTGGTTCAAAGCCAGACCAGGCAGGAAAGCCCATGAGACTCTCATCTACAAATAACTTCCAAAAATTCCAGAAGTGGAGCAATGGCTCAAGTGGTAGAGTGTTAGTCTTGAGCCACAAAGCTAAGGGACACTACCCAGGCCTTGAGTTCAAGTTCCAGTTTTCACTCATACACACACATACATACATACATACACAGGGGGCATTCAGCCCAAAAATATAATATAAAGATCCTCAGATATGGATATTCTTATGGAAGAAATAGAATGAACAACATCCCTTGTTTTGACTAAACCTGTTCTTGCATTCCTCATGTAGTTCTTACCCAAAACTTACATTTTCCCTTTGGTATGAGATTGCTTTCACAGAAGAAAACAGACCTAAATTTTATGGATTTTCCAAAATCAGAGCTTGCACAGTTCTTCATTATGTTACTTAACTTATATGGATTCAGGTGATAATAGTTTTATCTCAACTTGGTTTTTTCTTGATTATTTGAATATCATAAATGAGATTCATCTACACCATAAATTCTCAGCCCTGAGATGTGTCTTAAATTGGAGATGAGTTAACATTACTCATACAGGAAAGGGACAAATGGGATATTCATATTAATGGCAAGGAAAAATCAAGAGAAAGAGATTCTGTTCTGGGAAACACAAAGAGGATTTTAAGAGAACAGGAAAGAAAGTGCTCTGAAACATCTTTGAAGGAAATGAGTAATTGGGGAGAAAAATTCAATCATAGGAAGATGAGAGAATCAGTTCAATTTGGGACTTAAAAGGCAATGAAGGTTCAGACTCAACCCAGATGGATTCTTTGAATTTAGATCAGTGCCTTTTAAGGAGGTGGTTATCAGTTTTTCATGCAAAGATCCAATCTGAGTCTTGATACTTTTGGGTAAATGTGGCCAGGACCTCTTTGTACAGATCTAAAGAGAAAGTGGGTGGAGTCTTTTACTGTGTTCATACATAGAGATTTCCACTGAAGAAGACTTTCACGTAATTCTTTGGGCTGAGACTCTTTTTCTATAGTTACTAGAAGTGGTGATTATGAGGAAGAGAGGAGAAGAGTAGGGGTCATTCTTTCCACCAACTGAGAATGGAAAATAAAAATCCCATAGATGGTTTCAAAGAGGGTTGGAACACTGTAGTCAGAAATATGATGTCAGCTCTAGCAAAAAAAACAAAAAACAAAAAACAAAAAACCAATATGAGAGTGAAGAAGGCATATGCATCCTATAAAGTTCTAAATTAGGAGACGTTATTCACATATTCCAGCCTGTGTCATTTTATACATGAGGGATTCCAGGCTGGGTTGAATTGATCTTCTAAAAGTTCATACATTAAAAAGAGATAAATTACTGTCCTGTTCACAAACATCTCCTATCCTCTGTCTCTGTCGGGCTCCACCCATTCCCCTTCTCCACCCCTTTTCCACACCTTTTAGTTAAAACCAGAATAGAATGGCTCCAACATGCTGTACTTCCAAGATCTTGTCTTAGATCCTTTTTTTAAATCCATCTCTACTGTACTTTTTCTTTTCTGTATAAACAGAAACAAACTGTTCTGGATAAACATGAAATACAGGTTATAATCGACAACTAGAATGTACTACACACATCTTTAAATCTGTAAATTTCCTAATCTGCTAAAGAGAACAGATGAATACTACTGTGTTAGAAAGGTGATTATACTACTTTTATGTCCTCTAAATTAGCACTTATTATTACTATGTAGGAGCAAAGTATTTGCCATTATTGTTTTTTTTTCTTAAGCATCTTTGGACTACCAAATTATGTAGTCTCATGTGTTCCATCCATTGTGTAGTTCACTATCAACTGAAGAGAATATGCATGGACAGACATAGGTGGTGCTGCATGACATATTCTGTGGTGAAGTAGAGACATCGTCCAGGCTGAGGGAAGTAGGCAGGTATCCACTGGGCTTAGGAGAGATGGAGAGCAAGACTCACAAACGTGGGTAAGATTTTCCTGAATGATGGGATTTCCAGGATGTGAGTCATGGCAATGACAATGCCATGGAGGTTAAGTAGAGACTTGAAGAGGCAGGCCATGTATGGGGAATGGTGATGTGTTTGATATATCCTACCTGTGGCCCGCTGCAGTAATGAGGAAAATTTGGGCAATGAACTTTGAGATAAACTCAGATAAATGTTTTGTGGATGAAGCTGACAGTTTAGATTTTTTTCCTCATTTTGTATGGCATCTGTAGAAGTATTTAACCAGGGAATGACACCTTTAGAGTGGTTTCTTGATTTTTTTTTCAGTTGAATTTACTTAAAAAAATATTGTTTTGGCCTACTGTATTTCCATCTTTAAAATTTATTTTTAATTGTCTTTAAGTAGTTGTATGGAGAAGTTTTAATGTAACATGTCCATTTGTGTGTTCCATGCATCTTGATTCACCGTGGTCCCTCAAACTTATCCCAACCCCACCCATCCCCTCCAGGTCCCTATTCCATTTTCCACATACATACATTGTGAACTAAAACAGACTCGTTTCTCTGAATGATAACTGGAATTATGTTTTTGCTAATATTTGGGGAGTGTATAGGACATTTGTCTCCTTATGTCAATATATTTTATTGGTTAGCTGAGAATAAATGTGCTATTGGTGTTCAATTAAAAGATCTAGGACTCTAATATATGCTTGTGTGTGAGTTACATAAAGTACTGGAGTATTACCTGAAAGAATCAGAATTTGAATTACTTCATTTCTAATTCATTCTTTGAAGGTCTGACAGCAGCAGCTGCAGCAGCTGCCGCTGCTACCAACGCAGCCATCGCGGAAGCAATGAAGGTGAAAAAAATCAAATTAGAAGCTATGAGCAACTATCATGCCAGTAATAACCAACATGGAGCCGATTCTGAAAACGGAGACATGAATTCAAGTGTTGGTGAGTATTCTACTCATTGAAACGGGTCATGATCACCTTGGTATGGAATTGCTTCCTTTTCCAAAAAAGAACCATTGGTGGCACCTTCAAAAGTTGGCATTTTTTTCCCTTGGACCCTGTGTGTGCTTTGAGGATACCATTTTGTTTGGAGAGAACATGTTCTCAAGTGATTAGCAGCAGCAGCATTATTTTTTATTATTATTATAGGACCTATTTTATGTCTACTGTAAGTAGTGAATGGACATGTTTCATAGTACAAGTAAACTTTGATAGACATTTCAAAAATCTTGAGTGCAGCTGTGATGACAGAAAAATAATACATACCAAATTCTATATGCTCTAACTTTATTTTTCTAATGCATTTGTTATGAAGTTAGACATTTTATTATAATTAGCAGCAAAATAAAAAGAGACATGATTCATGACCCCAATGAATGTTTAATACTGTAGATAGTACTGAATTCTGTACATATTACATTATGCACATATCTATGATAAAGTTTAACTTATAAACCTGTCCCAGTAGAAAATTACTGAGAATAATTAATAATAAAATAGAAAGGTTACAACAATATTCTGTAATGATTTTTTTTTAATTTGCACTTTTCTGGCATGCCTAAGGCTTTGGGTTTGATCCCAAGCAATATAAAAGTTATTTAAATTTTCTGAATTATTTTATATTTAGTATTGTTTCATTAAAATTAACCAAGGATAACTGAAACCACACACACACACACACACACACACACACACACACACACACAATCATGGATATAGAGAGACTCCTGTAACCTAATCCTTTCTCATGTCCTGTCAAGAATAAGGTTTATTTTGAATAATTGTTTAATCTTCCATCATTATAAGTGCCTATATCATTTAAAAATGTAACTTGCATTTTTCTTGCTAGTTTTTCTTTCTTGCAAAGACACAAAAGTTAACTGTCACAGTGAAACCAAATAACACTGACCTTTGCCAGATAGTCATTTGAGTAACTTTATTGTCAAATAGGGCCCCCCTCCATGGTTTAATTCTTTTGTTAATGATATTTTTAAATCTGGGTGTTAATAAGGCCAAACATTATCTTATATTATGATACTGCTTTATTTCTCTTTCTACTGTAGAAACCATGCTCAAAATACATCTAATGAGACATTTTGATCTTGTAAAAAGTTTTCAAGGGAGCATATCTAAGATATGCTAATAAAGGGGAAAAATTGTGGTAATTTGATTAAAATTTCTCTTCCATGTAGCATTCAACAGATTATTTAATGTTAGTCAACAACTCTACTCCTTTCAGGCCATTAAGACAGTTAAGGGTATAGGAAAGAATGCTGTAGTTCTTACTATTACTCGTTAAGAGCAGTTTCTAGTGTAAAAGATGAGAAGAAAACAAACGAACAGAAAATCTCAGGGAGTTCTCATAAGGACTATTGGAAATTCTAGCAGCAGAGGTCTGAATTCAGAGTAGATGGTCGTGGTGGCAGCAATATAAATAAAGGTTTGAATTTCTAAACCTTTCTATGGAGCTGACCTAGAGGGCAAAGATTGTTTAGGTCATGGTTGACACATATATATTTAGATATGTAGAATTTAAAGCAGAGCCAGGCGTGGTGGTGCATGCCTATGATTTCAGCTACTCTGCAGGCAGAGAAAGGGAAGATCATGGTGCAAGATCAGGCCTTGGCTCAAAGCAAGAGAACCTATCAACATACAACTTCAGCAAAGCTACAGACTGGCTACAGAGGTTGAGTTCTTCCGCAGCAAGTATGAAGGTCTGAATCAAAATCCTAGTACCACTAAAGTAAATAATTCAAAATAATTTAATCAAATTAAAAAATGAAATTGAAGTCATTAGTTCAGTCAAAATGAAAGAATTATAATTCTGTTCTTAGAAATGTCAAATATTAATTGCTTTAAAATAAAAGTCTTTTGCTTTGGCTTATTGAATGAGCCAACATTGAAATTGTTCAAGAATAAGCTACTGGCCACTATAAATGATGATTTCTATTTTGAGATATGGTCTGGACTAGTTTCAAAAGTTGAGAATAGGCTGTTCTTGAAAGTGTTTTGAGGAAAGATTTTTGAAATGGAAAATATCAAAACATTTAAAATAACATTTATTAAGGAATGGTATCTTTGCAGTTCCTGGACAGCAGAGTGGAGTTCATTGGCACAACTAACAGGCAGAAGTTAACAGGAACATGGATCATAATGAAGCACTAACATATTTAACCTAATTAACATGAAGCATTAACATATTTAATATTTGATACTTAGTCATAACACTTGGCTACTGAAAAAACTAAAGCTACCTTACATTATTTAGGCACCTATGCTATCATAATAATTGAATGTATAAATGATTTAAATTACCCATTGTATTTCATTTAGATGAAAGTTTTCTGTCAGGTAAGTATTCACTTCATAGCTTGCACTGCTTTTTAGCCTTGACACATATCACCCACATCAATTTGAAATGGGGGCAGAAGTTTACTTGAGTTTTCCTAGAAGGTTTTACTGGTTTGCGATGTATAGCCATTGCCTGTCCCTAAAGCATGTACATCATTGATATTTTAGATATCTTTAGCTGATTTGGACAGTACAAAAAATTCCTCATTGTCATTTTCCTTTCACTATCATATGCTGCTGTTTTTCAAGAATTTATACCTTGTGCTATTACCCTTCCTAGCATCTCCACCCCTACATATATATCTAGAGAGCAGAGAAAGCAAGTCTTGGCAGACAGCATGGTGGTGGGAAAGTGTAAAGATCAGTGGAGAAGCTGAGAGCAGAGTTCTCTTAGATCAAAGCATTTGCTGACCTGAGCAGGTTTTTCTTTCTTTCTTTCTTTTTCCTTCTCTGGTTCCTTAGAGCCAGACAATAACCTGCCACTTTGTTAAGGGTTCAGTAATTACTTTCCCTGTGACTTGGGAAAGTTATGTCAACTTTCTGATCCAAAAATGCCACGTGTGGAACATGGTATAAATAATATTGTCAAAATCATGAAAATTAAAATATATTTGCTAGCATTTATTTCTCTAGAGCAAGGTCTGCTGATCACATTGTTTAGTTGAAATCTTTGCATTGCTTTCATAGTTAATAGTTCTTTAAACTTGCCTTGCTGGAAAATCACCATTTTCCTTTCCCCCCTCCCTTCATGTGTTCCTCCTGTGTTTCTATTCTGTCTGCTAGCTATTACCCCTTAAGCGGCAGGTCTGTGTGGGAACTGAGGGGGTGGCATCTATTACATCTCTCAAATTTTGCTGTCTAGTTGATTTTAGCTCACTCTAAGAATATAAAAATAATCTAATACTGGCCCAGCCCTGAAGGGGCATAGGTTCTGTACAAGATTGAGAAATAAGCAAGCAGCCATAAGAGACTGTGTGAGATCCTCCAGAATACATCACTAGAGGGTGGAAAGGAGTGCTGTTAAGGTATATGACCTCTAGAAGGAATCCCAGGAATCTCAAACCAATATTTCAGATACAAACTTAGTGCTCATGAATCTGTCAGTTGTCCCGTCAAAGCAATGAATCCCTTCAGAGAAGTGCTACTTAAATGACGTATCGTTGCTCCTTCGTTTTGTCCAGATCAGGGACATTTTTTTAAAGTCTACTTATTACCTTTTCTTTTTTTTTTTTTTACTTTCTATACTAATCTGGTTTACAACTTCCACTCTTCAACATTCTTAGTTTTCCTTTATAGGAAAACTGCTTTCTCTTATCTCAGATGGCAAAATACATTCTTATAACTCTAGAATACAAATTTTGATTTTGCTTGGTTTGGTTAGACTTGGCTTGGTTAAATGACAAGATAATATTATTACAGCCAAACCTTTTCAGTGCTAATATGAACCTTAAAAATGAGCCCAGAAAAGAAATCTTTGATGCTGACAAGTAATTGTTGTCTACAGCAATTTTACATGATAACCTTAAGCTTACATCTTTCCAACAGAATGAGCACTTTAGGAGAACTGAGGACCTCAGGATAGATCTGAATGAGGAGGCATCAGCAATGCTGAGTAAAATATATGACCATGTCGCCATTCTCCTTCACCCACAATCAATTGGATTCTTTTAGTTTAATATTTACTTGCTAAGATGAGATGCTAGTCTGCATGGTGATAAACAGTCTGCTCCTGGCATCTGAAGGTGACCTGTCAGTTCATATGGACAAATCTCCTGCTTACTGAAATGTACAAAATAAATCATTAAAGCAGGCAGGTGCTCATTCCCAGATTTAAATCACCATAGATTTATGATTTGAATTAATGCTTCATTTGGCCATAGAAATAGATGCTGAGACAAATGATATGCACTGGTTGGGGTTTCCATACTGTAGCCATCCTGATATTGATTACTGAGATGTCTTAGCAATCTCTTGTTTATATCAGGTACTATCTTGTGACAGGTTGGCTGATATGAGCTACACTGCAGATAAGAAGGAAAAATGTCCTGGATTCTTTTTAGTGGCAACACTATCCACCATGTACAGGCCAGATAAATTGCTATTTTTTATTTTCTTAAGGGAGTAATCTGCATAACCAGTTTAAAAAAATAAAGAACTTTGGGACATTGGAAAGGACACATTTAAATCTGGTGAACCCAAGGTCAATTTGATAGTATCTTTTACTATGTTTTTTTTTTAAATCTGTTTATCTCTTTCTTTTGGCATTATGCACATTTCGAGGATACTAAATTAGTCACAACTGGTTTAATCTAAATAAAGGAAATATAATTTTACTTTTAGTTTTAAAATGCCATATAAATATTGACATAGTGAGCATCTCAAAGTATCTGTTATTTAAATACTTGTTAAACCCTGTGTCATTTTCCCTTCAGTAAAGATAACAAAAGAAACAAGTCTTTGAAAATAAATGTATTAAATATTATTCCCTAGTGCAAAGTTCTGCAAACTATAATTTATGAAGAGCAAGAGACTGCAGGAAAAGACCACATTTTTACTTCTCTTAACACTTTTATTTAAGAAAAATACTGTGT